GGATCGTTTGAGGAGAGAAGTGGATCACACACTTTACGCGCTCTGGGAGGGCTTAGCGCCCCGCTTCAAGGAAGTATACTACGCCACTTGTGTGAGGTGGAGGCCGCCCAGTAGAGAGACGATTGACGACATCATAGATGTTACGAGCTGGGTGGATTGTCTGAGGCCTCTCGATCTGATTAGGTACTGCAGGAGACGGGCAGAGATCGATTACGCGGGGCTAGAGGACGCGAGATTTCTCTTCGAGGTCGCAGCTTAGGGAATGTCGGGAAGAACGGCCACGGTGATGCGTGTAGAAGAGCAACTGGTAAGCACAGGATACACTGTGACAGTACTTCTCCGAGCGTACGTAGACGAGGACTTGACGGCGAGTGAGTGCAAATAACGAGCTAGGGATTTGATCCACGACCGTAGAGCTGAGGTATTGGCGCGAGTGACCTTCCAGACCTCGATTTCCTATGATGTGATGATATGGTCTCATGGTTATATGCACGCGGAGCACTACCATGATGAGACGGTAGCGGAGGCTAGAGCGAGGGTGAGAGGGTGAGCTGGAGAAAGATGTGGACTGAGTATGGAAGAGGAGAGTGAGGCAGTCGGAAGAGTGAGAAAGCGCGTTAAAGAACCACTCTTGAACCAGGTAAAGAAGTTGGGGGACAAGTTAAGGGAGATCTGGTCGTGTCAAGACGAGGGCAAGTTGCGAAGGGTTGAACTCGTGACGAGAGAGTTAGAGAGTCTGTTTAGGGAGGAGAGAGAGATTATCCAGGCGTGGAGATCAGATTTTTTGGAGAAGGTRAAGGCTAGAAGCGTATCACGCGAAGAAACTGGTAAACGATCTGCAGAGAGCGAGACAACGGAAGACAAAGTAACGCAGGGGAGTAGCGACAGGACATGAGTGGGACTGCACTACGCACGACGGATCGGTACTCATTACATGTGGTAAGGAGACTGGACGGACCATTAGTGTTAGTGATCATAGAGCTCCAGCTCCATACCAGACTGTGCATAGTTGAGGAGGCAGAGTGTTTCCGCCGTGCCCTGCGTGAGGCAAGGGGGACAAGACTTTGGATGGGAATAGAAGGAGGACGAAGGATAAACTACGTACTCCGAGTAACACCCTTCGAAGGGCGGTCTCGGATAAGGGCATGGTACGAGACGACCAGAGAGGCTGAGAGGTTGAAGATAAGCGAAGCCAGGAAAGCTGGAGAGTTAGGGAGAGTTGTAACARATGGTGCAATACTCAGGGTGTTAKCYKCTCACAACMGGTACTGGAAGGAAACGATAAAGACTTTAGAGGCGATAGACGAAGGAGGAGATAATGAGGACTTTGAGACATTTTATGACATATTGGAGCGGTCGGCGATGAGGTTACAAGTCGTTATAGCACTAACTTACCTGAGCTGTTAGACAGATGACCTCGTAACCGTTGAGGAGATAAGGTAGTGGAAATAGAAATTGGAAGCTCTTGGAAGAATAGAGGAAGCTAGAAAGGTCGATGGGTGACATTGGGCGACAGTAGGAGGACCTTTAGCGGGCTACCCGATTCAGATAGGGCTATGAGAACTAGCAAGGAGGACGGAGAGAGACGCTCGGGGACTCTTGAGGAGTGTTGATCAGGAGACATTGGCTAGGTTTGGGATTGCAATCTGTCTCAAGGATAGAGGTCCTGTCACGAGCGTACTGTGGGTCCGGACAGGCACGGCCTTGTTGACCGATCCCGAAGGAGAGGTTACTTAAACACAGGGATTCTTGGGATAGAGAGAGAACACGAGATCTGCGACCGGTACGGGATACTGGAGGTGGTAATCAAGGCAGTCGAGAGCTAAGATTGGAG